CTCAGTGTATGATCGCTGGAACTGAAATTACAGACACAGAAATACATCGAAAGGAAAAAGGGATTATCATCAAATCACTAAGAGAGAGGATCAACAACTTTTTCTATACTTTTACAAGAGATGAAAAATGAAGCTAACAGTCGTCCTTAGGACGGTGAGAAGAAGAAGAAGAAGAAGAAGAAGAAGAAGAAGAAGCCTAGCGACTTTCTTAGACTTACACTCACTAGCAAAGTGTCATTTCTTTTCATAGGTATAGCTAGTAACTGTAGCCCTGTCAACCGAAATTGATTTGGCTTGTCAAGGAGGGCATAACTTGTGTTTCCATGAAAGTTAGTTTTTTGGCAAACCTTCTAAGAATTAGTTAGAAGAGCAGTGACTCATCATGCTCTGAAAGAACAGAGAGTGATATCTTCAGGAGCACATAGTTGAAGAGTGGATTCAGTGATGGTAGGAGGAATAGGGATGTCAGGAGATCTAGTCTCTGAAAAAGCAAAACTAAAGGATAGCTTTTGGTATCCCTTACTAGATTATTTTTCAGATCCTTAGACTGCTCGTGATTCATCAAGGTGCCGAAAAGAGCACCTAGTGACATATTTGTAGGTCTTTTGAAGTTTTGAGACACATTGAATAACTGTCCTAAGGTTCAAGAAGACATTCTAATTTTTTTTTTCAGTATCTTAGAATTAAAATATTCCCTATCAACAGTATTTAGATCTATTAGAAGATAAAGATTCATTTTTACCACAAATGAACATCTCGTATTATCTTACCAAATTTATCTTTATAGATTCTTGTACCTCAGTTGTACCTTCATATTGAAAGGTGAGGGCTTCCTATACTTCCTTCGCAGATCTGAAGTTCATTATACAGTACCATGGCAATGACATATTTTATGTTGGTGTTGATGGCCATTTTCTTGATATCATTTTCAATCTACTAATGAAGAAACTTCCAACTATACATTCAGGAGTATTTGGATGAGTAGCCATGGGAGGTACAACTTCGGTTGTAACAAAAGGAACAAAAGGACCATCTCTAATGTAATGGGCGATAACAGGATCCACACCCTCAAAAAAATAAAAAAGGACATGCAATTCTGGAGAAAAGTTATCTCTGCTAAATCTAGGAGGTTTTGCAAGAGAGTCATTGTCGTGATAGTTGTTGCTATCCATAATAGGATTAGTTTAGAAAAAGAGAAGAAAAGAAACACTAATCTGATACCATTTCTTGGTTCCAAGAGGATTAACAAGGCTTAAAACAGTTTGTAGAGAGAGGATTGAATACAAACATCGTTTATTTCATTTTTTAAAATTGGTTTATTGATTATAGAGAAGAATCAATATAGATGAATTTACATATTGTTGTGGAATACGAAAAGGATATAATCCTAATCCAAACAATCTTACGTTAGAACTTGGAGCGCTTAGAATCTCTGAAGAACTTAAGTAGAAAAATCACGCAGGTTTTTCTTGCATATAACTCATAGAGAGAAGGAAGAAGGAAGATATTAACGGTATTCAGAAAGATGGTCTTCTCAATTATTTATATCATGTGCATTAAATGCATGCATTATGTACAATCCACGTGTCATGAGGAAAGTGGCTGGAGGGTACTACTTGTTAAAAGCAAAACAATCTTTGGGTACTCATGAACAGTGCTTTAGGGGAGTTGGTAGATGTGTGGTAAAGCATATCATAGTGTACCACAAACTCTGATTGAAGCATGGGGGAGTTTGACTTATGCAAGTGAGGATAAGACAAAAACTTGATAAACAAGATTCTGAATCAGCTTGGAAGAGGTCGTTAAGGACTTCTTCAAATAGGTTGTTATCACTAAATGCCGCTTCATAACATCAACATCCTATCTTTATCTTCAACTACTCTTTGACATCCCTGAAGTCTCTTTTGATGTGAGTCTTATCTTGGAGAAAACTTAAGTTCTAAAAACATATTTAAATAACTCAACAATCACTGAATAGACTCAATTGTTGTTGTATTTTCAAATGGAACTTACATAAAGAAGTAAACACTAAGTAATAAGGATCATCATCAAATCACTAAGAGGGATTAAGATCAACACCTCATAACGGTTGCTAACAGACGGTGTTGACTCTAAGGACCCTATTTGTTGTAAAACTAACAACTTATGTCGAAAACATAAAATTGAAAAGTTATGGACCATCAATGTAAATAGTTTGTTTTAAGGACCAAATCCAAATTTTGAGCAAACCATATGTACCAACAACGTAATTCACTCTAACATTGGGTTCTCGAATTTGAGGAGAAGAGAAAAAAATAACTAGAGGAAAAAGAGAGAAAAGGAAATTTTATTTATTTATTTGTGTGCTCAATTAGGAAGGAAAATAAAAGAAAGAAATATTTTTTCATGTTCACGAAGAGATAAGAAGGAAAAGAAATATGTTATTTGTAAAAAATATGTCCTTTAAAAATATGTCATTTGTAATAAAATGTCAGATAACTTATACTTTTAATAATATTTTAAAAAAGTTTAGTTTCTTTTCTTTCTATTCATTCTCTTTCCTCATATATTTGAAAGAAAAGTTTTAACAAAGAGAAATGCCAAGCGGTTTCGAAAACATAACACAAGAACTAAATCAAATTTTTTTTATATTTAATATATTTCGTCCAACAATTTAAAAGTGCAAGGGGATTTTGTGTATTTTTCTCAAAATAAGAGAATCTAAAGCTCCTCCTCAACCATATCAGCCAAGAATAACTTTACGTACATTCTACTGGTAGTGCGAACCCCTGTCCACTTGCTATATATTGGCGTAGAGAGAGAGAGGGAGTGAGGGAGAGAGGGGGGATACTTCCAGAAATCATATCCACACAAACCCATACTCAAAAAAGTAAACAATCAAGGCAGCCGCACACACGTCAATGAGATAAACAATCTTTTCTTCTCATTCTACTTCGCTACATCAATTATAGTCCATAACCCGTTTGTCAAAATGCCCTAAAGAAACCATAAAGAAACGCAAAGAAAGGGGGAAGACAAAAGCCAAAGCAGCTTTTATTTCTTTTATTCAAGTATGCGTCTCTGTCTTTGTTGCGGCCTGCGGGTGTGAGGAAGGACATTGTCTATGTGAGTTGTTGATGAGGTAGAATCTGGTGAACTTAGCTGTCAAAGTTCAAACTCCATTGTAATACATCTTCTTCCTTATCATCAGTCTCCATCTCCAGCTTCTTATTTTTCTCTTCAACCCACAAAAGATACCTGTAGAATTGTTTATTTGTATATAGCAAATCGATTCGTGTTCGTCATAATATACTTTTTTTTTCATTTTAGTTGTTGGGTCACACCTAATTCTTGGTACAATCTCAACTACCCTGATCTGTTTTCCCCTTTTTTACAATTTTCTCCTTTTTTACAAGGTTGTAATTGATTTCCATCCACAACTTGGTGCTTGTTACAAACCCATTTCAATGATTTCTTTGATGCTGTCATCCTCTCTGAGAATCTAATCTGATCCACATGCCCACTGATTTTGGTGTCAGAGCACCCATATAGATCTGACTCTCTCTCTCTCCCTTTGGTTGGCGAAAGAGGTGAATCTTGAGCCCTCTGTGTGTGTGTGTGTGTAAATCTTCAATCTTGATACTGTGCATTAATCCCAAGCGTGTGTGTCCATAAGCAACATCTTGAGCCCTCTGTGTGTGTGTGTGTAAATCTTCAATCTTGATACTGTGTATTAATCCCAAACGTGTGTGTCGATAAGCAACATATGCCTCCATCGAAGCATTGACAAAGGAAAACCAAGAAACTTTCCTCTGGTTTCGAGTTCTTATCCGAGAAGACGAGGCCCACGCTGGGTTCCGGTGGGCTTCGTCTGAACAACACAGAAAGATCCTTCTCCCTCCACTTTGAAGTTGTGATTTTTGTTTGTGGGTACTTGCCTCTCATATTCGATCCCTATATCTTGCCCTTTCTTTATCATAAGTAAAGGATAAGAGGTCGGCCTTTTTTAAGATGCTTTTTATCTTCGTTACTTGCTTCTCCTTCATACTCTTTTTTAGGTACTCTCTTCCCATCAAACCACTTCCACCTTGGGCTTGTGAGATGAGATTACTCTCTTTCTATTTCTGGAAAGATTTATCCATCCTGTTCCCCTCTGCCAAATTTTTGAAGAAAACCCTCTCCATAAACTTCAATTCTTATATGTTTTCAACAAAGACTACTAAAAAGATTAATACTCTTTCAAGGAACACCGAAAGTATGATGACAGAAGGGACAGGGCAAGAAAAGGTGGAGGAGATGTCTGTGTTGGATTTGCCCAATTTGGCATTGGAATGCATTCTTGAGAGGCTTGAACCTGATGGGCTTTGTAAGATGGCTTGTGTTTGTACTTATTTAAAAGACATGTGTTTGAGTGATCACCTTTGGGAAGGCCATATGAAGAAGAGATGGGGTAGAATTATTGGTTCTACTGCCTACAAGGAATGGCAACTGCATATTGCCTCTAGAAAGGAATCAAATTGCTTTCTTGCTGGTGAAAAAGGAAGAGGTCTTCTGATGGGTTATTTGTCAAAACTCTGGCCTGTTATGTTAGTTAGATCTAGCTCCAGTAATCATGGCGATAGCAAGAAGATGAAGATTTCTTCTCCTCAGCCACCCATTGATTCGATAGTGTCTTGCTATCGGGCCCTTGAGACCGGAAAGTTTTGGTTTCCTGCTCAGATCTTCAACCGTGAGGTATCATTGTTTCTTAGTTGTTTTACTTGAAAAATTCAACTGATCCAAGTAAATTTTTCGGTTCATTGTTGATCTTTATTGGTTTCTGATGAATTTCTTGGTGTTACAACAGGATGGGCATGTAGGGTTCATGTTGTCTTGCTATGATGCTGATCTTAGCTATGATTCGCATAACGATACATTCCAGGCCAGGTAAAGTCTATAATTATTTAGAAAAATCTTGCATTATTTTGTGATCTGGGATATACAAAGTAGTTTAAGGTTTTATCCATGGCACAGATACCCGCCTCATGGGAGGAGGGCAGCGGCAATAGAGACCGGGGTGACTTGGGATAGGCTAAGGGCACCACCTGTTGATACTTCACCTCATGATCTCCATATTTCAGACTGTTTGAATGATTTACGCCCAAGAGATCACATTGAGATTCAGTGGAGAAGGAACAAACAATTTCCTTATGGTTTGTTCTTCATCCTGAATATGCTATTTAATTATTAAAGAGGTCATAACCTGCCTGAGTAATTCTCTAATCTTCATATACGAAATGAAACTAAACATGATTATATTTGTCTACTTTTTCCTTGATTCGAGATCGTAGGGTGGCTGGAGAAGTGCCACTATAAATGGTTTTGTGTCAAGAATGGTGACATCCTCTAATATTGTATGCAATATTTTTTATTATAAAAATGAAAAACAAATGCCCTTTACAATATGACGCATTTGTTGGCTGCAATTAACTTAATTTAGGTGGCACTTGGAATCCATTTTTTTGGTCTTGTTCTAAAGTTCTCTTATTTCAATAATACCAATAATTCTCACCCACTTTACTTTTTAAAAGTGATAAAAAGTTCCCCTCATCCTTGGATGGCTGTGTCAAAGTTTGGTAGATAGCTGTGTCAAAAATGATAATTTGTTCTTTAAGATAAGAAGCTTTCTTGATTCTTCTTTGAAGTTTAAACTATACCTTAAAAAAAAATCTTTTCATGTCAATCCTATCCCAGTGGATGGTCTAAAAAGATCTTTAAATTTGTGTTCTTGCAGGCTGGTGGTATGGTGTTGTAGGTCACTTAGAAGCATGTGATGGTAACGGCAGCTACTGCCATTGCCATGAAAGTGGTGAGTTTGTATTAACTTTCTTCTTGTGAAAATACATATCAACGTACATAATTTTCTTCGATTAGTGTATATGCTTATGAATTGTACATCATTACATGTCTTAAAATCAAAACAGATGTGTTGGTCCATTGTACAAGGCAAAATATGTAAAACATTGTAGACCCAAGTGTTGGAGTGAAAAGTTTTGATTAAATATTTGTGTTGGGTCACTTGGTAGGTGGTTGGAGTTCAATTTAGTACTCCCTCTGTCTGAAAAAAGAGTTCAATTTTGTTTTTGAAAATTGGAGTTTGGTACTTGTATGCAAAAATTGTTTCAAAAAAGAAAAGAAGAATTGAGTGCAAATATTTATCTCCAAGTGTAAGTATTTTCACTTTCGACTTCAAGCAAATTAACATTGTATCAACTTGTTTGCTATACAGTAACTCATATGACAATTAGAAGTCAATTATGGACTCTTTTATCAAGACAAAAGGAGTCTTATTGGAGTCCTCACATACAACTGCTCTACTCTTTGGGGTCTGTGTACATGTCAACCTCCAGATCCCACCTTTGGGTGGGGATATACTGGGCTCGTTTGATTTATTAAGACAAGAGGGAGTATTGTACTTTTCTTTATTCTCTAGGCAATAGGAATACCAACAACCTTATAACTAGAAGACCCTTCATATTCAATGTTCATTGCATCATATGGGATACGTGATGTGCCTAATGTCATCCATGTAGAAACAGCCAAGCGTGTCCGCCGATTCAAGATAGTGTAAAATTGATAGTTGAGAAATCTCTTGCCATTTAAGATGGACATCTTTAATCATGTGGCCATGTTCAGTACAACATTCTGATTCTAACAAGGCCCATATCTTGATTAACATCAATGGTTGTAGGCAGATGTCACCTTTAAAATGGTCCCATAAGATGTATCCTTATCAGTTTGTCATGATCTTTTGAAACATTGCATCTGGTTTTGTCAACCGAGTATGGACCACGGTGTCTGTATGCCAATCACACACACTAAAAAATTAGTGTTCCCTTTAAGTCTCTGATGTGAAGCTATAATGATTCAACTTGTAGATGCAATTATATTGTCGGTTTTCTTTTCCTTTGGTTTAATTATCATTCTGTGGGATCGAACCTTGGATCAATTATGCCATTGTCACCTTTTAGGTCATGGGAACAGCCTCTTTAGTGCAACCGAAAAGTTTTTGCCAACCCTCACAAAAATTAGGAATCTTCATGTACCATGATGGTTTCGTTTCTCCCCTCACCCCAGAAAATAACAAAATAAACACACGCATGCACACGGAAAGTTTTGATAAGTTTTAAAAATGATGTCTCTTATTTTGCACACTTCTCATGAGCCACGGGTGTTCATGAAAACAACTGCACTACTCTTTGAGGGCTGATGTTAGGTCTACGTACATTTTAACCATTATTACCCACCTTCAGGTGGGATATACTGGGCTCGTTTTATTTGATTTGGTTTTATTTCTTATCCAATTATTTGTGATCTTTGCTGATGAAAAAGTATACATGTGTTGATAGATGCTGTGGTGCTGGAGTTCAACCAGTATGCTCCTGGTTCACGATGGAGACATACGATGATCAACAGGAGACACCATCGTGAGGAAGGAAATGAAGCTGATGGATTTTATGGTGGAATCCGAAAACTATATAGTAAAGACGAGATCTCTATGTGGCAACAATTTTGGCCTGCCGAAATCTTGGAATAATAATAGAGGTCAACTAAATGTATTACTAGATTACCACAAATTTGGTAGCAAGTAGAAGCTTAGGTATCTTAGAATTATATATATTTTTTTCATGGCTGGTCGAAGATTTAGAACAGCCATAATATTGGTATGATTCAAATGTGAAAATAATTCATATAAACTTCTTTGCATTGTGTACTCATCTTGGCTATCAACCTACAATCGATGAGATTCTCTTTTTGCCTATATGTTGTTCATAAACATTACCTGAAAGAATATAAGTAAACTATGAAATCTTGCATGTTTGCTTCATCGAGACGGTTTGGTTTCATGCTTTACGATAGCCATTTTGGCATCTACAGATTCTTTTTTCCTCCGGTTTGTCTTGAATGGGAGGCTCAATCGCTTGAAGTAACTTATCTTCGACATCGTCATTATTTCTCTTGTCTGTTTGCTGTCACTGGTTTCCTTCTTTAAAGATGCATATCTAAGCAAAACTGACTTCATTTTCTGCATCTTTGATTCTGTACAGGTCAGCTCACTTCGCTTAACGGGCTTTACAGGTTTCTTCAGCCAGAGCCTTTTCATCATGGTTTGGCCTGCCGGTCTTTGCACCTCAGTCCTGTTGACCATGGTTTGACTCCGAACCCATCTCGAGTATATCGAGCCTTTGCGATCCATAATCTCGGTTACCATTGGTTTCTTTATGGTCAAGTCTGTGTCGGGCCTCGTGTGTTGTGGTTGCTCTTGGTACCAGTCTTGCCTAGTACGGTTCCTGAACGGTGAATATGATCTAGATCGCCTATGGACACTCCTCCGTCCTTCAGTTTCTTCACTGACCTTCTCCAAAGCAATCATGAAAGGGTCAAAACCGTCATTCCATAACGGTCTCCTCATGCGTGAGGTCAACGACCTCGGGGATGTAGGAACCGAGGTCTGAAGCCGTGGAGGGAGTTTCAAAGGCAAAAACTGACCGTTACAGAAGAGCTCATCTGCAAACGCCATGGTCGAAAATGAATTTGCTCGAGCAGGTAGCCTATATTCATGGTCCCATCCGGTCCCAAACTCAAACTCATCGTCATATGTCTTCTCGGCACCAGACTCGTAACCGAACGAGCCAGGGTGCACCGGGCTAGACCGCGTGCTGTAGAACTGGAGGTTTTGTGGGTTGCAACCAGTGGGAGTGGTGGGTGCACTAAGGTAGAGGGAAGGAAGAGAAACGACGTCCATTGTTGTTGTGTTGAGTGAAGAAATTGGGAAGTAGGATGAGGGTATAAGACCATTAAAGGAGGGCTGGATTTGAGGATTTAGTGGACAATTAGGTTCCTGAATTTAAGGTTGAAGAAATTCACATGTGATGACCACTTTGATTCTAAACTAATATTCAAACAGTAAAATGCTTGTGATTGTCCCTCATCACTCACTTGTTCCCATTTCAAACAGAAGTGGCATATTATTGGTGCTAATCTTATCTTGTTTTAAAGCTTTTGCTATAAGGGGCTTTTTCTTACTTCTTTTTTCAATTTAACCCTTTTTTTTAAAAAAATTCTTAATTAAGTTATCAATTAACATCTAGTTTATTGACCCACAACTATTTATTAGTGGAGAAACTTGATCATGTATTAAATCACAGTGCCAATTGATAAAGTTAATCGTTAAAAAGAGAGAGTAAATTACGGTTTTGGTCCCTGTGGTTTACATCCGACTAAGAAAAAAGTCCCTAAACTCCATTTATGTACAATTAACTTTGCATTTGATATGGAAAAGTTCCCTATATCTAACACCGTTAAAAATCAAATGTTAAGTGTGGAGGATTTTTTTTCCTTTTATATTTCTTTAATTTGCATATATTATTTTATTTATATAAAATTGGAATCTAAAAGTATATATAAGCCCCCTCCAAGAGAGAGGTCTTTGAGGGAACATTTGGGCGCCCGAATTAGAGCTCGGAAGAAAAAACCTATCGATTGTTGAAGGAAAACCCGTATTTCACCGTTAATCGTGAAATCAAGGTAAATTCTCCAAACAATTCTCAAATCTATTGATAGGATGATGTCAGTTTAGTTGCTAGAGTCCTCATATCTGATTTGGAGTCGTATGGATGGATGGAAGGCCATTGTTTTGACAAATCGGATTAAAACAATGTTTTTGGTAAAAAACCAAAAACTTCCTAGTCGAGTTTGAGACTCAATTCTGAACGATTTTGGTTGATTTTTGTTTCTATAGTTAAAGGAATCTTGTTACTTTAAACTTCGTAAAAAGAATTATGCAAAACGGTTAAGAAACAAGGTCAAACAAACCAAAAACAATCAGATTATGGATTTGCTTCTATTTGCATCTCCGTATCTCGTTGATGGTGGGTCGTGCTTGATCAAGGAAAAAGTAGATGGTGTACCTTGAAGTGCAGAAGGTGGGGCGATGGTCTTGGGTTTCTCCACGGGGTTCCTTGCATCTCCAGCTCTCTCCAATGAGACACGTAACAGTTTAGCTCTTGTTTCGACGCTGGCTACTTACCACAAGTTGGAAGCCATCTAGTCGACTTTTAAACCGATTTTCAAGGGTTTTCTCCTCATTTCTCCACCCCTCATCCTCTTCATTTAGATGATTTTTGGAGCTCAAATATTCATTTTTAGGACTCTCCAAGTATGTATCGATGATTGGGAAACTCCATTTGAGAAATCAAACTTAAATCTTGCAAGATCTTTAAGATGTAGTTTTTGGGTATTTTAAGATATAGTTCGGGTTTTATTGTGGATCTCATTTTATGTGGGTTTTGTTTCCTTTTGTGTTTAAATGGTAGTCATGAGAAATTTCTTGGAGGTTTCTCCTTATGGATCTCAAGCCTTCATCAATGGAAGCTAGAGTTTGGTTTGGGTACTAGGTGTAACTAAACCTAGCAAGGTGCATTTCAAGTAATATGCTTCATTATCACTTTTGTAAACAAGATAAATCTTTTACATCATACATATACTTAAATATCATATTAATAATATCCATGCATGCCTTTATAATAGTGTCGGTGTGTGTGTGTTTCTTGAGTGAGTTACTGCATAAAGTTATCTGGAGAAGATTCTGTGTTATTATTTGAAGTTGTTGTTGTGTGATCCATCTTCAAATACGTGCATATAAGGTAAGTTTTGTTATTAAATTTTTATATATGGATATTTGAAATACATGAATTTTGGTTGATGTTTTTATGGAGGAATGGAAACTGTTTTTGACAGTTGTTTTGAGTATTATTAATCTGGGTTTAAAGTTGTTTTGATAATATAAAGAGGAATATGTTTCTTTCAAAACAGTTGAGATGAGTATTCTATTTTTGAAAGAATATTAATTTGAGATTGGAAAATGGATTAAAAGAACTAATGGTTCTTGAGTTCAAAGTTTCTGATATGAAACTGTTTTGAGGCCATTGTTGGCTAAAACTACAAATTTATCTGTAGATTTGATGAAGGAATAATAGTGGCATATCAAGAAGAGATGTACCTTGAAATAAGGGTGACATATCAAGGAAAGGTGTACGATGGGATAAGGGTGGCATATCAAGGAGAGGTGTACCATGGGATAAGGGTGACATATCAAGGAGATGTGTACATTTTGGATAAGGTTGACATTTGTATGTGTATGGTTATTACCTTAGCTCTTGTTGTTATATCCATAAGATTACGATGGTTTTGCATCAACATTTCTTTGTGACATGAAGACTTAGAAATATTGCTCTTATTGACATAATAGCAATGACGCTTTTGAGAAGGAAAAATTGCTTATAGCCAGAGGCTTTAATTACTTGTGCCTTTGATTAAGAATGTTTGAGAATAAATAGGATGATGTACTTAATTTTATTTTAAAATAAGAAAAGTTGTGTGGAACCAGAATGGCTCTGTTTGTTCCTTGAATGGAACCAGATGAGCCCTCGTTGTTCTTTAAATGGTACCAGAGGAGCTTTGGTTGATCTTCAAGGTTAATAAGAAGGCCTTGGTTATGATGGAAATTCTTGATTTCGTTTTCAAACCTTTATTTTGACCAGAAGCTCTGCATGTGCTATGCAGAGGCTCTATAGTTGGAATTGGAATTACATGTTTTAATTATATTATAATCTGTCGTTATACTTCTTTTTCATATTCAAACTTAGAAGCTAGAACATGGAAAAATCTTTGGCAAAGTAAGCTAGAGGAGCTCTGGTTAACACTAATATTTAACTTGGTCATATGAGAAATTCAAGTTTGTTGAGAAGTTGTTTCTATAATTCTTTATCTTTGGTTAGGTGAACCAAAGAAGCTCTAGTTGTCTAAACCTGATTTAAAGGGTGGGGGCTTGCTCTGGTTGATAAGACCAGAAGCCCTGGTTATTGGACCAGAGGGGCTTTGGTTCTTATCATTTATAAATGACCAAGTATTGCTCGATAGGGACACTTATTGGATAAAGTATTGTTTGATAACTAACTTTTACGAGTATTGTTTGATAAAATAATATTTTGATTGGAAATTAGTTTTGGTGATCTTCACCCTGTAATTGCAAAGAAAGGGTATCTCACTAGACCTTCAAGTCTAACCCTCATTTTGTCTTTTAAAATATGTATTGCAGTATCAACAGGGTCTAAGGATAATAAAGGGAAGGGGAAAGTATGATTATTTTCCTTATGTGTTTATCTGCTGTTTTGAAGATCAACCTGTGGATTGATGTATTTTGAAGATACATGTTGTGATACATGTGATAGTGCAAGAACTTCATTTTGAAACTTTTGTATTGTAAATTTTGTATATAAGTTTCTTGTACTATTGGGACCTATGTGGTGTAATATGTATTTCTTTTGAATAAAGTACATGTTTATATGCAAATATGTGAAATGGGGTGTTATATATATACAAATTACAAAAGTGATAATGAAGCATATTACTTTTTTCTGATAGAAATTAAAGAAGCACTGAGCTAGTCTATGATTTTACGTTCGTTTGTAGAAGACTCTAAACAATGTAAAATTGGGCCCAAAATTTTAGGGGCCCTGTTCAAAATCTCACGTTTAACATGCTAAATAACGGCCCTGACATGCAATATGCATCTTATGCAAGTGAAAATACAAATCATATACACATCATCATTATCTTTCACATCATACATATACTTAAATATCATATTAATAATATCAAGCCATCATAATCAACATTTTTCATATCATGCATATACTTGAATTTCATGTACATCAATACAATCAAATTATCATCATATGCATATAAACATATCACGTAAATATCATGGATAAAATACTTTGAAATGGTCATGTATATATCCTATAAAAATCACATAATGTACTCACTTTTAATCTTTGGCGTTTGATAGGTCGTTTTCTTAGAATTGCAACACACATAATAATTAATACCATTCCTAAGCATCTTAAATAATCATAACTAAATCCATTATTACTTCCTAACGATCTTAGTACGACTAACTCTTAACAATTTTTATTGGTCAACTCCCAATACCGTCATACTAACTTATATTTCACTCAAAATTTTTGTTGAAATATTATTATAAATACATATCGTCCTTATAATACTTCTTGAAGTTAATTGACATTTACATATTTTTAAATAATATGCAATACGCTACTCAGTATCTTGAAAAATAAATATTTTATCAACATGACTAAAATAAATAGCTTGGAACATAAATGATGTTTTATGGCTAAAACCTTGTTGAACCCAGATACGATACTCTTAATTGACAGAAACACAGTTTGTGTAAGATAAGAATTAAGAACAAGCAATGTATTTCAAATGATTAATCAGAATATTCAAAGATGAAAGTAAAACAGTTAATGAACTTGAATATGCCGATTGTTTTTATTGATAAAAGATGAACAATGAAAGCACAAATGTAATCTCACAGAAAAACGCGTAGAGTGTAAGTCGGTTCCTTCAGGTACATGAACCTAAGGAGGAGCCTTTCTTATATATGCGTAGGTCTAACAAACTATGCTATAAACTAGGCGTGAAACTCTTAGCTGACTGGTCTGTATCCTTATCTTTGACTTCCCTTGAATCTCGGAGCAGACTTGGTCAAGCCGCCTCAAATCTGTTAGACGCTTGTGAGAATGTCTGGGTTAACACACGCACGTTCCGTGGAGAAGGTAGCCAGAAGCTCTGCATGAACATACAGAAGCTCTGCATGTACTATGCAGAGGCTCTGGGTCTTGGAGTAGTTGCTTTAAGTCAAGCGCTTATGCTTTTTGGCGCACAAGGCTTGAGCGTTCACAAAGATAAAGCGAGGGCTCTATATGAATGGAACCTTCACTCTGAGTAAGAGCTCTGGTTCTTGATCTTCTGCATAAGAGCTATTGTATGTAAGTTATTTACGAAAGCTTTAGATGAAAAACGCTTTACCTTTCTTGCATCTAAGTTAGGTATGTTAAATTTGAAAATTTGAATTTTTATTAAAAACAGTTCAATTTATTGAATTGTATTTAATTGAAATTCGTTTAGTCAAATATCTGTATTTTTTTTAGATACAAGTCAGTGTTTCAATTTTTCTATCTGATTTTAAATTTCTTGATCGTGGGAATCTATATTTGAGGGTGAG